CGTTTTGCAACAATGTGCAATTTTCGGGAGCTGCTTTCGGCAACAAAGTTGCAAACGCGATTATTCTTTTGCAACTTTGTAGTAGAAAATCGCACATTGTTGCAAAACGGGGAGTCGTGCAACAATGTGCAATTTTCGCAGGCAACAAAGTTGCAAACCCAGAACGCGTTTGCAACAATGTGCTTTTTTCGTGTGTCATCCGCGCGGCACAAAGTTGCAAAAAGAGGTAATCGCGTTTGCAACTTTGTTGCCGAAAGTCGCTCCCGAAAATTGCACATTGTTGCAAAACGGGGAGTCGTGCAACAATGTGCAATTTTCGGGAGCTGCTTTCGGCAACAAAGTTGCAAACGCGATTATTCTTTTGCAACTTTGTAGTAGAAAGTCGCTCCCGAAATCGCACATTGTTGCAAAACGGGGCGCCGTGCAACAATGTGCGATTTTCGCAGGCAACAAAGTTGCAAACTCAGAACGCGTTTGCAACAATGTGCCATTTTCGGGAGCGACTTTCTACTACAAAGTTGCAAAAAGAGGTAATCGCGTTTGCAACTTTGTTGCCGAAAGTCGCTCCCGAAAATTGCACATTGTTGCAAGCGCGTTCTCGGTTTGCAACTTTGTTGTCGCCGAAAATTGCACATTGTTGCACGGCGAACGCGTTTGCAACAATGTGCGATTTTCGGGAGCGACTTTCGGCAACAAAGTTGCAAACCCGACTACACGTTTACAACAATGTGCAATTTTCGAGAACGAATCGCGGCAACAGTGCATATCGAATGTGCATTCGAAAGTAATACAAGTTAACGATGTTACAAGCGAGAATGACGCTTGTAACAATGTTACATTCAAGCGTAGTGCTTGTAATAATGCTTGCGTTCGAAATAACGCATCTAATAATGTTGCAATCAGAAGTAGAGATGCCAACAATGTTTCCGTTCAAATATAACGCTTCAAGCAATGTTGCATTGAAAAGTAACGCGTACAACAATGTTTTGCATTCGAAATAGTGCTTCCATCGATGTTGCATTCGAGAATAGAGACTGCAACAATGTCTGCATTCAAGTTTCAAAGATGAACAGTGAAATAAAAGTATGTTTCTAATTAAAAATCACCGTTCAACGATGTAAAAGTTCTTTTCCTGTTATTGCAACCGTGTCCCACACCTCGATCAATTTGCAACCTCAACTCACAGGGGAACAAAGGCTCTGCGCAAACAAAACGTCATTCTACATTCTCAACATATTTCTCCACCCCTATAAATAACCCCCCTATGTAGGAAACTTCGTAGTGCTACCTCGTATCACGGGAATACTTGGGAGTATTGAAGTTTGTTACGAGAAGTGGACGAAATTAAGATAAGAAACGTACCCTTGATTTTTGGAGAAATTTATGGTTGTTTCGTTTGGAGATGTTTAGCTTGGAAGGAAGTGATTGCAACCGTGTCCCACACCTCGATCAATTTGCAACCTCAACTCACAGGGGAACAAAGGCTCCGCGCAAACAAAACGTTATTCTACATTCTCAACATATTTCTCCACCCCTATAAATAACCCCCCTATATAGGAAACTTCGTAGTGCTACCTCTTATCACGGGAATACTTGGGAGTATTGAAGTTTGTTACGAGAAGTGGACGAAATTAAGATAAGAAACGTACCCTTGATTTTTGGAGAAATTTATGGTTGTTTCGTTTGGAGATGTTTAGCTTGGAAGGAAGTGCAGTGGATTATGCAAATTAAGCAGATAGGTGGCAGGGAATTTGGTTTTATTAGGGTAGGATTGAAAATATGGAGTGTCGAGTTTGTGACGAGTAGATCGCGGATTTTGGGGCATTTGTAGAAAATTTGAAGATGCAAAATTGCACAGAAATTGTAAATATTAAAAATTATAGTGCTTTTTATGATACCTGGTAGATGAAATAATTCTATTATATTCTTAAAAATATAAATTTGCACAAAAATCCGCTGTTTAGTGCTGAGTTCCTGTCTTAGTCCTCGAATATTGTATAGTAATGTTGTCTGATTTTTTATTCTCGAAGGACTACTCGAATTGTGTTCGGGAAATTGATTTCTCACTCTAGTTTGTGTTCTGCTAAATTTATCCACAAACTTAGCAACGAACTAACTATGAATCGAACCTAAATGTTTCCCGTTGGCCCGAGTGCCTATTTGATTAGCCTCGGTGCTAATTTGACCAATTAGTGCCTAGCCCGAGTGTTGGTGTTCTGAACTATTTGATTGCGGATTTCTAACTTGTAGCTTGTTTCTCACTCGGTGCTTGTTTCTGTTTCACTGTTTGTTTGTAATTGCCTTTTTCTCTGACCACTGACGGCCATCTGGGATTTCGTGTCTTGTAATGCACGTTGATTGGTTATTTCTTAAAATACCTAATCGCTAATCAGCGTATCTAAGCATTCTTCACTTGCGCTCTTAGAGTGCCTTCTCTTGATTAGGGGTAGCATTGTCTAACGCTCAATGGAATTTCAACGAATTTACAACTAATTTCTGAATGATCCTTCGGAAATTCAGAAACTTTATTCCACAATTTTGGCTTACCTTTTCGTAAGGAATCACCCCTTCCTATTTAATTGTAACACGATTATTTGGACACTCTGTGTAAAGGAGCTCGTTCAATGAATTACGAAGTCTTCTTATTACTTGCTTTATTAAATATCCTCTGTTCGTTAATTTTTCAATAATTTTGATTTAATTTCATTTTTGACAATTATTTCCTGATGGTTTAACAAACAAGATAGTATCTCTCCAAAGTTTAACGGTACGTAGTGAAAAAGTAATCACAATAATAACAGAAACGATGCTAAAATTCAATCTACTTTACTGTAATAGATTACTAAAATTTAGGAACAGTATCGACTCTCAATCTCCCTCAGATCTGAAGCCCACAGAAGTATTTCAAAAGCAGACTCCGAGAATCTTCAGAATCCAAAGAAAACCCCCAGCCGAAGTGGCTCCACTCAGAATCTACACCCAGCTTCCAAAATTCTCTCCTCACTTTCACACAAAACGTCATTTCACCATCGTCGATCCGCAAACCTCTCCATTCCCAAAGAAACCTCTAACCCTGCGACAATCAACAGCCAGAACAGCCTCCAATAGTCTGAACTTTCAGTTGACACTACTATTCCCCGTTGCCTTAAACAGGCTTAACTATGTATTTTTATCTAGAGCCTTTTCATACAGAGGGAGAGAGAGAGCCTCTTACAGTGAACCTCTTCACAAGGCATACGAGCATTCTGTCGCGCTAAGTGCTTGAGAGGATGACTAGAGGAGAGGTTAAATCCGATTGGCCGATGACGAGCGAACAAGCTAAAGTGTACGAAGAAGACGCGAGAGTCTTTAGAAGTGCATAATCTTATTCTTCCATCCTTCTTTCCTTCCTTTTTTTCCTCTCGCCTTTCTGCTTAACACCCTAACAGCCAGCATGGGATGGACACGGCAGATTGCAACAGCGGGAATCCGGTGTTCGCGACGTAGCATCGTTTAGGTCAACGTCTCTAGCGTAAGATCAACCGTGGACGTTTATCGGTACGGAACGAGAACCACGCGGAAATTCTGGAGCACGCAATTTCTTTTGACGACAGCTCTTTCGTGTGCTGATCGTGGCTCTTTCTAGTTCAGCTTTTTACTGTCTAGGTATTTCTTTCTTTTTCGTTCCTTTTTTCAGCGTTTGGTGCGATGATTGTCAGGTTGTTTACTGGTTTTTGGGAACAGTGGTAGACTAGGTGAACTTTAGCTCGATACACTGAATTGTATAACATGTAAATAGAAAAGAATTCTTTTTCAGTGGATTCGCATAATTTATTTGAAGCTACCAAATTTCTACCGCGATGGTTTTTGCATTATGCCAGAAAAATGTCAAGTGGTCGTCAAGAATGGAGTTTGTTTCGGCAAGTGATCTCTCATCATTTTTTTTTTTTATTAACTTTTAATTTTTCAAGACCGATGTCCCATCATATTAGAATCCAAAGAGTCTCCTGACTTCGTAAACCGTGAAAGTCTGTAAACTGCATAAAGAACGGAGATAACGTGCAAAGATTATTCGAACGTTTAACCCTTTGCACTGGATCGGCGACTGAGAAGCGAATTTATTCTTTACAATTTGGCAAATAATTAATCGAGGCTCTCTTAAAGCTAATATTTTACAACAGGTTCATATTCCTCCCATAAACATCTAAGCAGTTTGAAAGAACCAACGTCCAATGAAAAATTCATTAAATATCGAAACAAAAAAGTTGCATTTATCAATATATACATAATTTATTTCTGCTAGTTTAAAAAAAAACTCCATCAATATCTTAGCAAATACTAAATAGCAATTTTTTAAGATCTTCGAGCGCAAAGGGTTAAAATCGCATCTGGCATGCAAACGAACGATTCTCGTCGCAGACTTAAAAACCACGTCGAAGCGACAAATCTGTAATCCGACACGGCGGTACGGTGTTAACGAAACGAGAATCTGATCGAAGTAAGTACGTGGAAACGTTCCACGTGAAGGGAGTTTAATCAGTTGCGAATTACGTGGGTGTGGCCAGGCTGTCTGAAAGACCGTGAAATCAAGGTCGAAATATTAAAACGATCGCAGCCTATTATCGTCAGGTGTTAGTCGCGAAGCAACGAATTTCCATCGGTAAATTTCAATTCGGTTCAATTTTCACGCGCGTGACGATCGGTCGATGTGTAATTATGTCGTAATTCTTCTTCTGGCGAGCGTTTCGTACAGATGTTTCTTGTTTCATTGAGTTTCGTAATTGTTTCATAATTCGCCGATTGTTCTTTCATTTCTAGCCAATTTGTTCTTCTTTGTACAGCTCTTTCTCGAGTTGTCAGTAATTTTCAGGTAATTCGTTTCATTTTCCAGCATCACGTTTCATATTGTACCGATTTAGTTTGCTTCTAGCTATTCACGGTAACGAAAATGTATTTTTAAGCGCAATAGAAACATATTTTAAGGAATAGAAAAAATTGACGTATATCTTTTCTTCTGAATTATTTTTATCTTTTTCTAAACATTTTCAAAAGCAGATACTATTATAGAGAATTGTCGTTATATTTTTATCTCGGTGATTTATATTTTTTAAAATTAGAATAGAAGGCTCAAGATATTCAATATCTTCTAGATACGCAATTACTTATCTTTTCTTTTTAAGCGAATTAACCCTTTGCACTCGAAGGCCCTGTTTTCTCTAAGGAAGTAGCGAAAATTAATGTAACTTTTTAAAACTAATATTTTTATTAGAAGTTGGTTCTTTCCAACTATTTCACTGCTGAGATCTCTAAATACGTGGTTCACAGACCTGCTGTCTTGGAAAATATCATCCTTAGAGTTGCCTCTAATGGTAAATATAATGTCGCGACTTAGTCGCCTCAAAGAGTGCAAAGGGTTAATTAAGCTCGTTAATATTAGCCGAAGAAGGGAGAGAATGAAATTTTCAAGTTTCACAGGTTTTATCAATTGCTGTTCGTGGTATTTTAATTTACCGAACAGGCAACTAATTATTTATAATTCTTGTAATAATTTAAAAAATTCGGGAACGTCCGTTTTCCCTCGCTAATCTGTCCAACTTACCGGTTTGGCCATAAGCGAAAATGCAGGCGTTGTAACCCTGAAACGCATTGTCCAAAATGTCGCGTCCCAGGGCGTCGAACACCACGTCTTGGCTTGCGAAATTTTCCGCGGACGGGTCAAGAGAATAGAAACAGTGGTCGAACGCAAAAGTTTTTGGCTTGCTCCTGTAACAAAAGAAAACAAAACAAGTTACTCGTCAACCTATTTTACCGAAGAATCATCGCTTTCAAGCTCAACAAAGAACGAAAAAAATAAATTTCTCCCTCCCTAAATATGCAATTAATGCAAATTAACACACAGAAACACCTTTGTAAGTATCCCTATTTTCACACGCGTCCCTTCAATCGCAATTTCTATTCGTACATCTAAAGCACCAGAATCCCAAGGGCCTCCTCGAGGAACACTGACATTATATCGATAATTACAAATATATCCTAGTAGCTTTAATCTCGTTTACTGTCTCGAGGGGGATTCGAGAGCAGCGAAAAAGCAACCAGAACGCAAAATGTTGATTTGCAATCCTTTCGATGCTAACGGCGTTCCTGGTATTAAATCCAGACGTTCTCCCCTCGGGATTAGATCTTGCACGAGAGGAGGGTGGAATTGTAACTACGAGAAATTAATCGTGATCATATTTTTCCGACGATTCCTGAATAATTACGAAGAATGCGTAACAATTTCATTCGTCAGTTTCGAGCATTCTTGTTTATATTTATTCTGGTATTTAAATGTCCCATCTAGATTACGTAATTTAGGCAAATTCGATATTTTGTGACAGCACTCGTTCCTGATTTCACGATTATTATTCCTGGTTCGACAGTTCTCATTCATAAAGACGTAACGTAAGAGTCTTCGTATTAACGCCAGAGTTACGTAAAGAATCATTTTCATCCGATCAACGTACGCCGGTTCAAGAATTGCGTAATTAATACGATGCACGTGTAATAAAGAAACTTGGATCACTTCGGGCTATCAGGATACGACAGAGCTGCGCTTCTACATTTCCATGTAGATTAGTCATGCATAATTTGTAGAACCGGTAGATCGTGAAATACCTTTGTCATCTTGTGCATAGTAATTAACGAGTAAATAATTGGCGATTCATATTTGAAATTGAAACGTACTTTATGAAATCTGAACTTTTCACAGGATAGTTTGTTTCGTTATAGTTTTCCATTTTGGAAATCTAGGAAAGATACACTTTTATAAATTATTTGAAATAGATATACATTATTCACAATATTTCAAGTCACTTTAAATACCAGTACTGTTCGTTTATTTTTCTAAAAGAGAAACGGTTCTCTGTTCAAGTTTGGGAATTTTTTGCACAGGAACCTATGAACATTTTTACTTTTCAAAAATCGGAGAAAGAAGCTGAAAGTTACGTTTGCATCCTCTGAAAAAATTGAAACTTTTCGTTGAGTAGTTGCCTCTAAAAAAAAATTCCCAAACTTTACCGATTTTTAGACGCCTAAGGTTCGTGTACTCCCTTAATCTCTGTTACGAAACACAATATTCCTCTGTTCGTCTGAGTCACGCAATTCGAGGTATTACGGGGATTTCCTATTCCTGCGATTCCCGCGGCGAAATTATTCGAGAAAAAGGCAGTTTCCATCGCGCAGGAAATACGAAAGCTCCGTTTCGTTTGGAATGAAAACGATTTCCTCTTGTCCTGGATATATCAGAGCCACGACCCTGTCTCAACGTCAAAAGGCTCTGGGAGCCGTTGAAAACGAGCGGGCGCGCTCCACGCATCGGCCTGCTATCGATTTCCCGTCGCATTTTCTCCCCAAGTAATCAGTTTCCATCGGTTTTTCCGCTCCCGAGAAAAACTGGAACGCCCGCGCCGAGCCGCGGCTCTCAGCGAAAGGGGCACCGGAGTCATTACGAACTCATGACTTCGGATGAAATCGCTTGTCGGAAACACCACAAAGAAATCCTTCGGCCTCGCGGGAACGATTGCCGAGAAATGCAAACGAAAACAACGCTCCTCGTAGCTGCATTTCGTTTTCATATCGAGAGGAAAAAAGTTTCTACTTGAAGTTTCCTGTGAATAATATCTGATCGAGGGATTGAACTGTATCGTTGTTAGAGAGACGTTCGTTTCGATTGTTTTTCACAATTTTTGTGGGAAGAATCTTCGTCGAAGCGTTGAGAGAAGCTGTTTCGAACGATTACAGCAGGGCTGTTCAGTCAGTGCCCGCACGGGCAACGTATAGGGCTGCCGCGGGCGAAAATAAATCGGCGGGCAACAAGCCACGCCTTCTCGAGCAATATTGTAACCACTGCCAGTCTTAAGAAGGATCTATATATTTTATCATAAACCTCTTTTTCCCACTCCTAATGTGTGTGACAACTCTAGCCCGCAAGTTTGCCCTCAGCTTTGCCCGCGGGCATCGGCGGGCGCCCTTGCCCGCCTGAGGGCTGCTGAAGGGCACTGGATCACAAGGTGTTTCATATAACTGGGCGGAGTTTACTCTTAACTCTTAACTGGTCATGTGCCGTCTGTGAGCCTGCTTCGTTTATAAATCTGCTGACACTTCTTGAATTTACTGCACTAAATTCATATTTTACTATGTTCCTTTTGTAATTTAAATCTATCAATGTACCAATGCAAAAAATAAATGTTTAAGTTCAGTTTCTATCGAGCTCTAAGAAAGTTTGTAAGAATTTCGTCTTTCTATCCGTTCCTAAAAATATTAGCTTCACAGTTTTCATACCCAAAAATTTCACGTGACCGGTTAAGGGTTGAAATCACAAAAAGCCACTCAAATTACTCTTCACTTGAAACGAACACATCCCTTTAAATATTAAATTCTTTTTTTCGAGCATCGCGACACGAAGAGATCGGCAAAAGGAAAATCTACAACGTAACGTGATCTCGCCTTTTGATACCGTGTAGGTCAGTGCTCGTTCCTCTTTCGAAGTAGCCTCATTTAAAGCAAACACAATTAGCGGAACATACCGCGGTCGAAAGTTTACGCGCGGCAACGCAAAAATCGCGGCGTACCAGACGAGTGAACAGGCGGAGGAAAAGCAAACGAGCAAGGTTTTCGGTGATTGGAGCGAACTTAATGGGAACGTTGATCGATATTGACCCTGGTATGTGTACACGGAGAATTTTTTTCGCCATCGACGACACTTCTGCGTACGTCGCCGTGCTCGCGAACTCTTGCCACGCACGGTTATTTTCATTACGAAGCGAAAAGTTTCATTGGATCGCGAGTTTGACTTCGATTAAATTCAATAACACCCCCTATTTCGTTTTCAAAGATGAAATCGTGTTCTCTTGAAAATTACTCTAGAGTGTGATTGACGAATTGACGTTTTTGAAGAAACTGGTGGAAATCGTATCTGTGAACACTTTTGATTTTATGGATTTTTAGTTTTTTTATGGAGTGTAGCTTGAAGGAGTTGGGACTTATTAGTGACAGTATTTGAAGACCTTGGTTTCTCAAGTTTTCTTTCTCAAGTCGAGTTGTATTTTTCCTTTTTTCTAAATATACTGCACGTTATTGTTAGAACTGAGTTCGTCATAATTGTCACCCTATCGATCCTACACAAACTAAAGGCTCCATTAACGAAAGTTCTGTATTTCATTAATAAAAGAAGAACGAAAGTTCTGTATTTCATTAATAAGAAAAGGAACGAAAGTCCAGTATTCTGTAATAATTCAACTTCAAGAATTTTTTATCATTCGAAATCAATCGAAACGAGGTAAATTGCTATTGATCTCCACAATTCAATTAATTCCAAATTTATTTAGATTCAGGGTTAATTTCAGATCTGTGAAAAATTAGTAGCGCGTTCAATATCGATCTAAATATTGGCAGATGATCCCAAAATTTTGGCCCAAAGTTGGCATTTTTGGTCAGAAACGACGATACGCCTCGCCAGCTATCGTCAACACAGTCATTTCCGCAGAAGTGCACACCTCGTGCGCAACAGAATCGATCGAGAAGTTCGACGATCGTACTCACGACCCGACAAAACTTTTTCGATCGGTTTGGCAAACGTGTGCCAAGATACGTCCTTCAGCCTCGAATTCTCCCAGCAGAAACGAGACAACAACGATGCCTCGCGGTCGATTTGCATAATTGCGCGGTGAAATGCGCGCTCGAATGGTCAGAGCGGGCGATTAGAGAGTGGTGTGGTGATAAGAAAGTTTGAGAACATCGACGATTTTTCTGCTCCGGGGTTCGTTTAATGGGGCGGCTCTCCAAGATTTGTTCGAGAGCCAGGCTTCGGCGTGGATCGCCGTCGAGTGGAATTGAACGCGGTGCAATTTTCTTGGTTTATGGATTCTGCGGTGTGGTTTTAACGTATTGAATACTGAGAAACGGCTGGAAGGAATGAATATTCTCTCGAATGTAGAAGATTGTTTTTTTTTTTTAAATAGAGAAGGTTTGATAATTGATGGTAGTTTTTTCTATTAAGATTGATAATCTTCTTTTTGAGAACATTTATCATGGGATGGTTTAATTTATAGTCTTGCTTTTAAGGTATTGAATATTGAGAAATGGCATTATTAACGGTTTTTTTTTTTTATTGGAGAGTATTTATGATATGATGCTGTATCAGGTATTATACAAGCGTTTTCACTGAAACGAAGAATGTTGTTTTATTAAATATCTCAAAAATCAGACCTAATTTTTGTTACACAAGCAACCCAAAAATTTTCATTCAGTCTCTCTCACAAAACAGTACAGGTACACTCTCGTTCATAAGTATCAGGACACTTATTGAATATGAATTAAATCTAAACAGTCGTTACAAAATTATTAAGACACAAAAAGAAATTATTCAGTTTCAAATCTCTTAGTATAAGGAGCACGCATAATTTTACTGATATATCACCGCTACCACTAGATAATTCATACTTCCTTTATAACTCCATGCATAACTCGTGCAAAATTTTGCTTTGTTTTCATTGCACTTCCTTCCCCAATTTTCTTAAATTAACATTCTCTGTGTATCGGAAGTCGTATTTTCCTTGCAACTGAGGTATGCTAAAAGCAGACAACTCTAACAGTACTTAGAAACATCAAAAATGGACAAATTTCAAATCAACTCCATGTTCAATCCTAAAACTCGATAAAAAACTCGGTTGATCTCCAAGTTTAAAATGTCTAGTTGCAGTATTAAGGTAACTTCGGCGAAGAAACG